ATCGGATCTGAGATCCAGATCATCGGATCTGTAACCGGATATATGGTATATGACAACAACTTGAACTAGAAACTTACATCCAATAGTTGTGTGAACTCCTTTATGGCCTGACGGCCCGCAGCAATAGTTTCCAATGTGTGCACTTCAAGAGTGGCATACATGTCGATGTTGACATATTCACGGATGCATCGAAGGAGCAGATATGGGAGTGTGTGAGTGGCTTGGTCAATGATGTCATGTGTGGCAAATACGATAAGCTACAGAATCATCAGAATCAGTAGTACATGTTAGAGTTGATCAAATGCCTTACTTTAGAAATATCTTCATTTTTTGAGCCATGAGAAAATGATATGTCCATGACATGATTAAAATGATTGATGTTGCACCAATGGGGTATTGAGTCAAAGCTGTTAAGTCAATATTTAATACTATACCCGAAGTTGAAAACATACTGTACATCGATTTGAGACTGTGTCTGCCGACTGATTGACTTAATGCATTCCTGAAACTGAGTCCAAAGATGGTCAGAAAAATTACCTTCATTATTTACATGTAAGCGGTCAAATGAGACTGCAGAATGGACATCTGTGTGAGCAACATCCGAAAATGTGTTCTAAAATGAATAAATTAGAGTAGGGAATGAAGATACAGCAATAAGGAACTTACATCTACGTCCCAGAGGCCTTGAGACATCAATACCTTCTCTTTGTCTTCTTGTCAAACGAAATTTCGAGCCTCTCTGAGTGTAGCTTGCGTAGACGCTCTCATTCGCAATGGATATGATGTAAGCACGTTCCCAAGTTCCTCTCTAAGAACAAGACAGACGGGACAAGGGAATTTGCACTTTGTTCCACATATCAATGACATGACACATCTGTGAAATAGCCATTAGAAAGCTATAATGATAAAGGCGATACACATACTGTTCCTCGTAGTCAGCTGATAAAATGAGAATAAGCGGATAAAAAAAATGCTCGATACCATTCCAACACTTGGCCCAAAAACCTGTTTTCGATAGTGGTGCGAGGGATTTGAGAAGGCACTTAAATGATTTGTGCCACACGACATTCTTGAAATTGACGAACGACTGAGTTCCAGAATACTGTCTATCTTCTTTGACCTGCAAGAGTAATCAATAAACATAGAAGCCGATGATAAATTGAATAAATTCTTGTACGATCGGAAGCCAGCCTACAAGGCGACCACCACCGAAACCTTCACCATTGCGTATTCCAACAGGCAAATTTGCACATCGCACAATGACAGGATAGGCCTTTTGACGACCAAACGAGGACAGTTTTGCCTTGTCAGCGTATATAATAAAAGTGAAGGGTTTTCCTTTATCCTTTGGTAAGGATGACTACAAAACATGCATTTACATTGTTAGAACATTCAAATTTAGTAGCACATACATACTTGACTATTCCAGAAGGTGTTAGCTGTCCATGGCTTGTCAAAGAAATGTACAAAGTCTCGTCCATCAAATTTGTACAACCGTTGAGCATCGAACACGAAGTGCGGACCAAGGCGAGGGTCTTTCAACAAGTCACAGGCCCAATCCCAGAGCGGCCTATACCAAACATCAAAATCATGCTCTTGGTCCCTATGAGGGACCAAAATCACTTCCTTTTTGAACTGTGCTTGAAATTTGATTGTCAATGAGGTATAACAAGTCAGTACTCAGCAAAGACTCACTTTTGCGTGGCAAGAAGATGCTGCATCCCACAGCTTACAGATGCCATCATAATCAATGACTGAGAATCTTTCGAGAGCACTGCGATGGATGAGACTGATGGGTTCATTTGTCTGCAGTTTTGTGAGGTTGGCTTTCAGAACTAATTCAGTGAAGTCGAAGTCGATACGAGAGGTAAATGGTTCCCAGGGAGTAGTATTTTCGCATACAAGCAAGGGAGCAGCAGTGTGGCAGCAAAAATTGGCAAAGTGATCAGTTTTCATAGGGATTCCACTACATGGATGATATTCCGTCCTGATATTGTCCTGCTGGAGTGCAGGAGGAAGATCGTATGATAGACCTACATAATAATATGATGACTGACCGATCTATTAACAATAAAAATAGGAACATACCTTCAAGTTCATCAGGATGTACATACTCCGTGTTGTCAAAAGTAGGTTCACAAGCAGCAGGACCTGCATGAGAGCCTAGAAATTGTTAAATAAAACACGAATCCATTAAATAATGAATCAAACCTTGTGACGCGCCTGGCCATTGTGATTGATCCAGGACTGGACAGCATTGAGGGTTCAGCAGCTCGAGGTGGGCTCGAGCAGCTGTCAAGAGGAGTTATACTTGATGTGAACAAATTATATAAGACTCACCTGCTCAAGCATTCTGTCTCTCGCGATCTTCCTGCATCCGTATAGTGTCCCTCCTGCAGGCTTTTGGTGAGCTGCAAGTCCACGACTCTTGAATTTCTGGCCACATGTATCGCAAATCAAGGTCCGTTTGGGTGGCATGAAAGTGTACAGGACTCAAAAGTAAGTGTAGATACAAGAATATGATAGCAATATGGACAGCAACAGACAGCAACATTATCGATGAGATCGATGAGATATCAGCACATTCCAATGCATTCAAACGGCACGCGCAATCATGGGAGTGATATGTCAATATCAACAAAGATATTATAATGATTATTGATTATTCTAATGGATTGGAACACCACGTGATATTGTGGGACCGACATCTCAATGACAATTGCAATGTCACATCATTGCAATGCTTCTAGGAAATTTCCGACAAAACTAGGCTCCAACATGGGAAGCAGAACGCCACACACCACTTTTTAGCTTTTCATCCTTGTGTCTGCCACTCTCTCCCATACAGAACTTAGGTGTGTACTGAGAGGGCTGCTCAATTCTTAAAGTTCGAGTTCACCTGCAGGGATCCGAGCACCGCTAAGCGTTGCTAAACCTGTCCTAAACAGGACTCGTACCTAAACCTCATGGCACGCAGCACCAACGCTTGGTGTACACGGTAAGAAGTTAGTTGAACCTGTGTTTAAGCTGGCCCTTTTTACACTTGATATATATAGAATTTGTGTGCTGTACCGTTTTGAATAAATCCTGAGTACTGAGTTAGGACAAGATCCGTAGGTTAAGCGTAAACAAGGACAAAGCGCTAATGTTGAGTTGTCTGGCAGCCGCCGAGCAGATGGCCTCAGGTTCATTGGGAGTTTAACCTGAGGCTCAAAGTGTTTGGTCTGTCAGCCATAAGCGATTTATCCTGGGAACAACTGCCAAACAAGGGCTGCGCCCCATAGGTACTATCTGTGCAGAGCATCCTTGAATTATCCTTGGGCAGTCTCTCTATACACTGTCAGTGCAATAATCGTTGGATCAACAGGCTCATTTGGTCATCTCACTGCAGCTGAAAGCAGCACATACCAGAAAAGATATCACTCTACAGTTCTGCCTCGTAAGTACTCTATACGCAGGTTGTCTTACAGATATACTTGCGTAGTTATTCTGCTTATCGTCAGTATAATAACGACTTTGTCAACAGGCCCATTGCTCAACCTACTATGCCTGATGGAGAAGTCCCCCACCCTGATGGTACGAAGTGATTCAGATAAGCTTGCAACTATTAACACCCAGGATCTAATTTGACAGTTTGGACGCCTGTTAAGGGGAACAAATGGGTCTGCAACCTTTGTCAGGACAGTAAACCCCATGATCGGCGGGTAGTGAAGAAGCATGAGAAGACCCAGTCACATCAAAATGCAATCAGCTATCATTCAAGACAGCAGCAGCATTGCGGGAATGGTTCAACAGTACCTGAAGCACAATTCAACTCTATTGTTGAGCTACATAGCCTTCTTGATGGCATGGCTAGTACTCCTGATTTCGAGCTGGGCAACTTAGCAGACAACATTGGCGACTACTCGGTCACGAAGGCAATGATTGTGCAAGGTTTAAGTGACTTTTTAGATGAAGATGACCTCTTGGACGATCAGGGAGCCAAAATATCAGAAGATGAAGAGGTTTTTACAGGGCGGACATGGCATGATGGTATGTTACTCTAACTACACAGTATGCAGCTCACTTTGACATTTTGAGCAGATGATAACCCTAGCGACGCTGCTATTGGAACCGGCAGTAATAGAACACGTCCTCGACATCAAATCGTGAATGAGGTGTGGTTTCCATGGCCTGATAAGATTGTAAGGTTGTCTATACCAACCTGCCTACTGTTGTTGATCCAGTCATGTGTTGTATTAGATGTGCACACTTGATATCCTCATGCACCTTCCGCGCTCTGTTTTTTCAGAACGACAGATTGATATTTTGCTCTGGCTACTTCAGGTCAACAATGTGGACAATGTGCCTTCGGTGAAGTCTGTCAAACTCATCAAAGACACTATTCAACAACTATGTGGTATCCGCTCAATCCCTTATGATGGCGCTCTTGGACATAAGTACTATGTTAACTCGCTGCCTGACATTATTCAGCAGGTGTGTAGCATCACTGAAATGTAATCAATATTCTATACTTAATAGTTGTATTTGAAGGAAATGATGAATCCTCGAGTTCGCCCACTGTTACACTTCTACCCTGAAGATACTGGCGTGGAACTGAACTGAAGCTTGACAAGCTAAATGTTGGCTTGAGGAACTCGACCCAGAGCTGCTTACACCTGTCGTCAGACTGCACAACCAAGACTTCTTTGTTTTCGAGCCTGCATTGTTATCGAGTGGCCAAGCTTGCATTCCATTTCGCTGGTTCACGCGTGGTGGGAAGATGTATGCTAAAGCTTGGTCATTGCGGCCAGTCACTCGTGAACTGGATTGTGGTTGGGTTGTAGAAGATTTTCATTCATTTGAAGTATCAGGAAAACGATCTTCTTGTATCATTCAAAAACTGGGACTTGAGCAAAGCAACATCTGGTCTACCGCGTGCATACTCAATCTATGGTAGAGTCATTTTATCACTTTGACTATTACATCTTGCAAATATCTGTTTAGGTGTTGAACGTAAACTGAATGGCGAATTGCAGCCATGGTCATTAACCAATCCTTCTGAAGGTAACCGATGGCGTGTTTGGGCATCACGGTGCTCGCGTATTTGTGATGCCTCTCTGGTTATACTGCGACGACACATCTGGAAACTTGTTGAAGAAGTGGAACAAACATAATTCATTTCTTTTTACAGCTGCGGGATTGCCACGAGCAGACATTCACCAAGAGTACAACGTCCATTTTCTTTGTACATCGAATCTTGCCCCTCCACTTGAAATGTTGGATGGCATTGTAGACCAACTTGAGTGAGTGAGATCTGTCGCGAGCAGGCAAGTGGAAATAATGATGCTGGTAAAATTTAGAGAATCATGGAAGCAAGGCATCTGGGCCTGGGACTGCGTCCACGAGGAGTATGTTCATGTCATTCCGTCAGTCTTGGCCTTGCTTGTGGACAACCCCATGCAAAGTGAGATGGCCTGTCATATTGGGTTGATGGGGAAATATTTTTGCTGTATTTGTTAAGTGAAGGGGCATGACGCAAGTGCAGATAGCAACCCTGTATGAGCTGCTGCACAGCCTGAAGATACTGACCACAGTGTTGGTGAGGCTAGTGGAAGTGAATCTGATGCCCATGCTGATGCTCCTCCAAAATCTACACGGAAACGAGCAAAGGAGACCATGGAGGAGATGGTAATATGGGTTAAGTGGTTCGTAAAGGTAACAAATTTGAGCGGTCTTGCATATATTTTTGTTCATGAAGCATGGTAGATAGGAGAACCGCGTCACAAGACTGAAACTGTCGCCAAACTCAAGTCAATGTTCATCTGTGCATCAACAGTTGGAAACCAGACACAGATCAAACAAAGGAAGACTTCTACGGGCATCAAGGACACCTTTCTAGACTCATTCTTGAATCGCCTAGCTGAATCACACTGCAAAATTCGGGGTGGTAACAGGGCGAAGCAGGCAGCGCTCAATAGAGTCAAAGAGACGCTGCCTAAAATTGTCACAAGTCCCGTGTAGCAAATCAAAGGTCTCTCAGCCATTTTCACAATGTACTATTGGGGTTGACTTCAACAACGTCTCAGGTATCGATCCTCACACTGACGCACCTGTGGAAATCCTCCACACAGTCCTTCTCGGATTCATCAAATACCTTTGGTGTGATGTTGTCTCTGTAAGGATTGGAAAAGACAAATTGAAGTGTGAACTTTTAGAAACTAGCCTCTCATCTGTTGACGTCTCGGGTCTTGGACTCAGCCATCTTGCTGGTCACACCCTTGTTCAATATGCAGGGTCTCTTGTTGGTCGTGACTTTTGCGCCATTGCGCAAGTTGCACTCTTCATGCTTCATGACTTGGTACCCATGGAATGCTATGATACTTGGGTTGCGTTATCGAACATGATACCACTCATCTGGCAGCCCAAAATTGAAAACTCCATGGAACATTTGGTATGTGGCATACTGTTCAGTTTTGTTTGCTGATATTCATCCAATCATTATTGTCTCAGTGTAATCTCATGACATCGATCAATAACTTCCTCGCGTGCACTGCCAGATGGACTCCTTGATGGTTCAATAAGCCTAAATTTCATATTTTATTACATGTCAGTTGACCACATACAATGATTTGGGCCAGCTGCTTTGTTTGCAACAGAGGCATTTGAGTCCTTCAACGCTGTCATCCATGTGAAAAGTATCCATTCAAACCACGTG